GGCGTGCCCCCACCTGCGGCTGCTGCCCCTCTAGTGCAGGGGCGCCTTCGCCCGCTCCCCCGGGCCACGCCCGCACACACCAACACCCGCGGCGGCGGCAGGGGAACAGGAAATACCGGTCGCAGCCCGGTGCTCCACGCCGCTGAGTCACCGCGGCGAGGCCGCCCCGCCCCCCAGCTTTTCTCTGCCCGTCCCGACTCCCGGCAGGGGACCCCGGCTCTGGCCCCCGGCTCTGCCCGAGGCAGCAGAGCGGAGCCCTGTCGCCGCTGGCACGGCGCACCGTCACCAGCCCAGCGCTTGGGTGTGTTTTCCGTTTACATCAGTGTTTTGTTTGGAACTTGGGATCGTTGCCCTTCTGAACCTTTCTAACGGGAAGACCTCTGAGACAGCGCAGTGTTCCACGTACGCCTCTCAATCTGTTTCTCCTTGCCCTTTATCACAGAATAGCTGCGGCCGCTTTACTGACAGCTCGGGAGCGCTCTGTTCACACCATCACTCTCAGATGAAATACGAAAGATTAGTAGAAGGCAGAGTAGCTCCATTTCCAGGCCGGAACACCCCGCGTCACTCTGCAAGTCCACCAATACTGTTCCCGAAACTGTAACATACCATGAGAGAAATACACTCCAGGCTGGCATTCCACAGGTATCAGCTTTCCGCATCACTGCTGTCCTGCAGCCAACATGAGAAAGGCAAGGCCAAACAGCCCTAGCAGGATTCTTAGGAGTCATATTTCTCTTGCATTGTAAAGCACTAAATGTCACCAGGAATTCCTTATCTGCCGTCTTATCTGGTGGACAGTTAAACCCCTTGCTAGCCCCTCTAAAATTAAACAGCATGCTCCCACCCATATCAGGCCTGCAGAACAAAATTTACTTAAAATTTTCTGGTTTGTTGTTATTTGCAGGTGAGAAATACTAGATTCTAAAAGCATTTCTAATTCAGATAAATTTTTTCCTCAATAGGTACAGTTCATGTGCTACATCACATACAGAAAGTAAGATAAAGAAAGCAAACAGTGTTCTTCATGAAGGGGCTGGACTTTGGAAGGAGGGCCTGAAAGAACCTATTTTATTATAGCAAATACGAAACTGCATTCAGATATTGTATGGAAAAGGCCTGCTTGTAGCTGTTGTTAATTATTAACGTGCATGTGCATACACTTCAGTCTAAAAGCCCCAAAAGCAAAAATCTGAAGCGCAGGAGGGGGCAAAGAAGACTAATTCCAAAGTCAAATTCATAAACTTGATGTTTTCAGTCAGCTACAGACTAATTCAATGACCAGCGTGTAATACAATATTGCTTTCAGGCAGAATCAAGGCACAAGAAATGGAAATTTAGTTTTACTTCCAGGTATGTGTCAGATCGCTTAGTTTACACCATGGTGGATGCCTGTTTCCTTAATGAATGTTTTAAAACTTCATCTGTTAGTTCTCCAAATCTTTTGTAACAGTGGCCTTAGGATGCTTGGTTAATGGTTCTAAAATGCTGTTAAGAGGAGTATGGGCACACTAAATATATAACTGATTTTTTTTTTTACACAATAGTAGAGAATATTGGTGGCTAGAAGAGCCTACATCTGGAAAGTAACAATGATTGCAAAAATACTCACTGTGTTACTGATCACCTAATTACCATGATACAAGCAATTTTCAAACGGATTCAGCAAACTGGGGAAGGCAGCAACATTATATGCCTTATTTTAAACATCTATTGTTTTCTTATCTAAACGTGTTTTTTTTTTTAATTCCTTAACCCGAATTTTAAAAAAAGTTGTAATTAGGAACTGTTTAGAATACTTTCATTGTTCATGGCTCTGTTTATACTATCCCCAGCAAAGCACTCTCCACTAGCCACCTCCCTCCGTAAAAGGCATGAATATTGTCTTTGTTCTACAACTTCCAGCAGTACAATTAACATAAAGACAATTTGGGAGAGAGATGGATATAACTCCACACAATTTTTTCTTATCTTTATACAGGAATGAAAAAAAAATAAATCTCAATAGCAAAACAGACTGGTACATGTTTGATTTGTAACAATTACTAATAGTGGTGTGGAATACATTTAAAACACCATTTCCTAAAGGGCCACAACACAAAGCAGTTTGCCCCATGTCTCTCCTTGCCCTGCCAATGACATCAGCTGTTGGGCAAAGCTAATTTCTTCCTGATAGCCTTTGCTTCTGCCCCTCCCATGTTTCCTTTACTGTTTTGAATGTTCTTCCAGGTTTTCTGGCAAGCCTCTGCCTTCCTTCCTAGGACTCCCACATATTAAAGAGCTGGTTAGCACAATCATGGAGTTCAACCACTAACCAGAAGCTAAAAATAATCAAACACAAACCCTCCTGTAAACCCCCTTTCTCTTATTCTGCTACCTCCTCTTCAGGACAGGCCTTTATCCCATTTATTGAAGCTACCAAGAAACACTGAGAATTTTATGGAAATAAGATGTAATGATTTTGTCACATGGAACAATCTTGCAAAGAAGATGTAATGTTTTCTTACAAATTACTCACAAATGGAAAAGGAAATGAACAAACACCAGACAAGAATTTACGTAACTCCTAACAAACAAAGGTGGTACTCTGTGATGAATGCAGACTGCATGCAATTGCAGTAGTCTTGACTACGTGAATGAACTCAGACTTACAAGGAACTCCTGGGCACATAGGAAACAATGAATTTTAGCAAGGCTGGACATACTAAGTCGTTCAGAGTGTAAGCCAAAGCCACAAAAAAACCGAGTCAGATTAGCAATTGGTAAAAATTCTGGTATACCTAAAATAAAGCCCAACACACTCCAGTTTATGTGCTGAGCTTGGACAGTCAGTAAAGCAATGAATGGCAACATTCATCCTTCCAAAATATTCTGCATGTTCCCCTTCACCGACAATGGAGCAACTGCATTGGGGAAAAAAAGGCATTTTTGTAAAATGTGATGCCCATAACACAGTTTCTTATTGATACTGGCTGTGCACAGTCTATATTTAATGATTGTCCTTCAGCTATTTCTTTTGGGAGAGGTGAAGCAAGAAACTATTGACATGATGTCAGGTGGGGAACTATGTAACAATCTTTTTAATCCATAAGTTACAGAAGTAAAAAACAGTACAGAAATGTTACTTGTCTTGGGGCAATAAGCAGTCTGACATTATGATCAGTGCTCGTTCTGTGCCTCCATTGTACAAGTGTGACGGCTCATTAGAGTCCGTGCCCCTACTTACAATTTGATTCAAGTACTAAAGCAAAAAATGAGTCATGTCCTATGAATCATTTTGTACATTGAGATAAAACTCATTCTAACTTGCTGACACTATTTATCTTCACCAGTTAAGACTAAATCCATTTGTTACTCAGATACTTAAACCCAGAAATTGTTTGCATAAATAGCAGTAGCATTACAGATGAAGGGCAAGGCGTGTAAACTGTGAAAGCTGAACTGCTCTTACAAAATCCACCCTGACTGGCCACACTTAGAACCTTTCTAGTACGTGTTTTGAGAAACAGAAAGAATTCAAAAGTAGGAACATGTCTGTGGCCTTCACCCTTTTCATCAAACCCTCGAATCACATCTTTACATACCGAATTAAGAATTCTACATGCAATTTTATTTTGGTATAAACATTTCTACCAGACATAAGGGAATGGAGAATAAGCTTCCAAATACCAATCAGATGCATGTTAGTGGTCATATTGCATGCAAATATTTAAGAAAATAATTTTTGAAAAAGTGAATTGGAAAAAAATAATCACATGTGGTCAGAATAACTAGGTATCCTCAATTCAAATATAAAAATACTTATTTCCATAAGCTCTATATTATTTTCAGTGTTCTAAATTCAGAACAGCAAAAACATATTTTTTACTTTCCTCTACTTTTTTAAAGAGACATGCTTTATTCTTATGTTCATGAGATCTGGGAGTCATTGTATTTACCTCATTCAGTAGAGCAGAAATTTATATTGTTTGTAAAACATGCAAAGAGCATGCACCATTAACCAAGAGCTACTTCCATTGAAATGTTTCTCTCTTTAGTAGTGGGAAATAGCAGGTAACAATCCTTATACTCTAAACGCAAATACTGGGCAAGAACACTTTACAGTTATTGTTTTTCAATGACAAAATCCATCCTTAGAGAAACCAAGAAGAAAAATATTGTGCATGGAACATCTTTTCTTACAATCTGCAAGAGTATGGTAAAATTTTTCCCTCATGCATTAAAATCAACAACTTGGTCCTTCCCATTTTATAGGCAGTTAAAACCTGCAAGTATTACAACAGTAAAACTGCTGAAGTGCTACCATTCATGATTTCTTTAAATGACTTTGTTTTCAGGTCTGGAGTATATAGTTTATTTCCTTCAATAGACTGACAAAGACAGCTTCATCAGCCTAAGAACCATATTTGATTCTAAAAAACTTCTGCATCAGCACAGTGCCAGGGGGAGCCTTGCTGCATCATGGTGATAACAAGATCACCACTTAAAACCACTGAAAAAATGCAGTACAATGAAATCAGTGCAGATTTTCACTACCATGAATTAATTTCGCTCAGCTCAAAAAAAAATAAAAGTATTTTGTCTCTTTGAAGAACAAAAGGGTAGAGAAAGAGAAATGCACAGTAACAGAATGAAATGTTTGCAGAGATATTGCTGTACAGCTTAAACTTCACATACTAGCCCTTCCAGTTCCATGTCATACTCAGAGCCACAAAAATGTCTAAGTAATTTAAAGTTTATCTCAAAAATAAAAATAAATCCTGAGGTGAAACAATTTAGAATTTGGAGAATAGCAAGGTCAGCAATACTAAGAAAAAAACTGTCATTATACACATTATGACATGTTAAATGTGACTATGATGTGTTCCAATAGCCACAAATTTTGAGGCAATACATTCACAGTACCACAATTTATGTTAATGTACCTTACAGGTATTTCTCATTTTGGGTGAACGTTTCACCAAGAAAAGTTCAGTGATTGTGTGTTGTTCAGAAGTCACCAGGTAGTTACTCCTTACATGCAAACAAGTCTACAGAAACTAAAAATGCATGACTTCTGCAAAAAGAAAGCAAGAAATGAAGAGACAGGATGGGTGACCTCAGCCACAAGTACTACACGGGCACAGATTCAAACAGCACACAGAAATCCAAAGACTGAGCACTAAAGAAAAAATATATTATTTTCATTTTTGTTGCACAACATATTGATACCAAGAGAAACAGCAGAATTAAGCTCAGGTACTTCAGCCCAAGAAAGAGCTTGGCTTGAGGTTGAAGTCTTTAAAACTTCCATGAGGTAGAATACAATCAAGTATCTTCTTTCCCAGAATATATTAAGGAGGACAAATCCAATTTAGTTTTTAAAGCTGTTGAAAATTCTTTTGATAGTAGTTCATGAAGAGATACTCTGTCATGAGAATACACCCAATTCCGTCCAGTCCAGTCATAGCGCTTGGGCCCACTATAAAAAAAAAACACAACAAAACATCAGACACTGTGTAAGTACAGATTATTTCAGGAGACCTGCTGGAAGCCTGTATGCATAATGTATGCCACAGAGTGCCCAGGAAAAGGAACAGATAGCATGGGGAACGGCTGGTGGGCAGTCTGAGGAAGTGGAGCAGAACAGGCCTGATACGTCAGGAACTACTGAGCCATCAAACAGATATATCTGAAAGGTGACAAGATACATCAGTCACTCCTAGAAGAGACAAGTACTTTCCCTTCCTGCTTTTGGCACTGATTTCCCCACAATTTCTTCCTTTAGGCCATTCTTCCCTCACAGATATAATTTTCTTGCACACAAATATCATAACAGATATTTTTATAATGCTGAATTAATGCCACTGATTAGTTCTTGCAGAAATTCGATGCACAGCAAAGCACAAATAATTTCATTTTATATGCAACAAAATAACTTAGCCCCTGAAAGCAAATATATTGTCATGTGGGAGATTTATAACTAAAATGCTATTTTTCTCTGTGCTATTATATTGTTACTGGTTTGTTTTTTCCATGTCTACGATAAGTATCAAGAAAGAAACTTGAACACCTGGGTTCTACTCCAGACCTTGCTATCCACTCAGTTTTCCACATGTCAAATGGGAGAATGATTGAAGGGTACTCACTGCTGTTAACATCAGCTAAGCAAAGAAAATAGAAAGGAACAACACAGTCATCTGGGATAAACAGATAAAACCCTTGATCTTGTAGGACATATGGCTTGGAACTCAGTCAATGTACAAAAAAACTGCTAGAAAACAGACTATCCTAAACATACATAAGAACAATCTGCAGGTTCTCTCTCTACAAGCATAAACACTGATCTGAACCTTGACTATCCTGAGTTACTTACAGTAGTCAAATGAAGAACTTTCCAGCCACTAATCAGTGTATAAGAAGTTACAAAGGCAAGCATAAATCCAAGTCACTTTCACTGAAATCTCACTGTCTGTATCAGAAGTGGTAACTGTTTGAATCAAGGTTACATGCACCAGTTATTTTACTAAGTATTTCTCACTTCACCTTTGCAGCACAAGCATATGTTTATACTCTCCTACACCTAGAGAAGATGGAATGGGATCCTGTCATTCATGAAAATCAGGCTAAGACAGACAATTTAATCAATGACAAAGAAATATGTACGTTATCAGAAGTGGTTTTAAATGTCATGCAGTAAATATCAGTGATAAGATTAGCATATGAAGCACCTTCATAGTTCTATGAATGAATCTCCAAAACAGTGTACAAATGTGACTTTTAAATGAATAGTTTAAGCAAAGATCCAGTGAATTCCATAAAATGCCTACAAAGTTAAATACAGATTAAATGTATTTCTCATGGAAAATCTGCATATATGTTTCAACCATAAGAGAAAGGGATTGAAATACCACATTAAGGTATTGCTAATATTCTGTAAGGTTGAAAAGTCTTTTCAGTCTGGAGGTTCAATTACTACAATCACACTGCTGTCAGGTTGCAGATGTTGCACATCCTCTCATGCCCTTATTTTTAACTCTCAACTAAGTTCTCACTTAGGTGTACAGATACTCAGTAGCAAACAGATGGCCAAATACAATTCCAAGAAAAATGTCTCACATATTGACAAATTTGTCTCCCTTGGGATATATTCTTCACGACTAAAGGTCAACATTTACCGTAAAAATGCCCCAAAACATTCAATGCAAGTGATTACTGGCAGCAACATTTGCTTCTTTCACTTCCCAGCATATTGTAGTTAAGAAGATGACAGTTCAGATCATACAGCATATTCACTGCTGGAGTTGCCTTTTAGAAGTTAGGAAATAAGTGAACACACAGCATCATGTTCCAGGAAATATCACTTTTTATCAAAATACCAGTTAAAGGAGTATAAAAATGAAAAAATTAACTTTTCTTCTCAAACTCCACATTCCAGAACACCGTATGTCTTAGCTCAACTAGAGCTAAACAGACAGGAATTATCTGAAGTTTTGTTTTCATAAAGAGATTAAGCCTGTGTGTCAGTGATGCAAAAAGTCTTATAAGCTGGTTCCTTCACCAGTAACACCTACCAGCTCCCTGGGTTCTTTTCCAGGGATAGTGACAAAGAATACAGATTTTGGGAGGGGGGAGGTGGGGAACAACACAGCTACAGCATTTTCCCACTTAACTGTCTGCCCTCCAGTTTCCCTGCTGAAACCAACCAGAAAACCTGGAATGGATCAAAACAGAGCTTTAGAAAAGGCAGAGGAAGCAGCTAGCTAAGGCTCCTGTTAAGTACAGATGCTTGACAAAAACAACCAGTGTAGGCATACATAAACATAATAAAGCAGGAAATCCCACAAGCTTAAAAGGGAAGGAGCCACCCTGTTTAAAACACAAAGAGAGGTTTAGATGATGACATCATCATCACTCTTTTTTCAACAGAAGCTTTATTTCTTTGTAATCACTGCTGGTTGTATTTCCTATGAGTAGGCTATATTCCTGTAGACAGTGGTTTTGGACTGAAACAGTATATGAAAAGTCTTTGTTACACATTTCCTGTATTAATTTAGGTATGCCAGCGATACTGCAGTGTGCCCCAAACCCCTACACCAAACTATTATTAAACATTTAGATTACACCATGCTTTGAGAATACACAGAGTAGAAGAGTTACTTATGAAAAGGATATTACATGATCATGCCATGCTATAAATAAAGGGAAGTACACTTCCACCCAGTCTGCAGATATTATGTAACTAACTTACACATAACTTACCTAGTGGGTGAGGACAGCCAAATCTGCCGGTTTGGTGTTTGCTTATTGATAACATATGTTCCCATGTCTCCACCCAATTTAATTGTCAGTACTCCACTCTTAAAAGACAAAGAAAGTGAGAAATAAAAAAACTGTATCCTGTTACTTTGACAACAATTACTTCATCTGCAGTGACAGAAAATAGTATCAGATCCTCAACCATCTCCCAAACAATAATAGCAAGGGAGAATGATCATTACATACTAAAAATGCAAATTAATACCTAGCATATCCTTGAGTCTGATCTAGACTTTGAACCTTCTGGTTGGAGTTTGACTTTAATGTGTTTGTACCATTCACAATGGTACTACTTAAATAATACTCCTGAGCTTGGACCTGGCATCTTGAAAGGACCAGACCATTGAAATTAATTTTGCAATGATTAAAACATCATCCAGTAACAACTTTTTTATATTAATGAACAAAGTAGAACTGGTGCGGTTCAAAGTCAAGAAGCTTTATGTGTCATTGCTAAATCTCTGAGCCATGCATTTTTACCTTACTTTTCTTCAGTAACAGTTTAACAGGGAATAGACACATTTTTTTCTTGATAATTCTGATTCATACCTGGAAAAATGTTCCGGTTCTAAATCCCAAGATTCTGTTTTTCCATGAGTCTGGTTTTGCTTTGGTTATGCCACCTTTACACCATTATCCTAGTGAACATTTATTTTCTCTTTCTTGCTCATGTTTCTTACTGACAACATGAGTCATGTTTCTTGTAAATTACAAAAATATTTTCTGTTCTGACTTTAAGAGTGAAAAAACAACAGTGTTTGGACTGGAGTTGAGCTAACGGTGATCTGAATGATACTAATTTAAAAGGGAAACATTTCTACAGAATGCAATGTGATAATTCTGAAATAATTTATTTAGCTCACAGCATTTCAAATACTTCAAGCCCTATAGCACAATAAAGTTTTTTTAAGTTTATCATACTTGGCATGCTTTAGTCAGAGGATACTACTAGAGCTACCTATCATTGCTCAGGCTATTTGCTATGTATATACACACACTATGGGGAAAAATACTTTCAGGTATGAGTATCTACTGCCTGCCAATATACTGTGTAGCACAAGCAGCAACTCAAAGCTTCCTTCCCCTACAAAGTAACTCAGTGTTACTAATTTCTGACACATATCAAGTATCACCAGACATAAAATAATACTCTCAGAATCCGACTTTTTACCTTAGTTTGCATGCTGTTTCTGTGCTTGTTAAGGCATTTATATCTCTGATCAAAACAATAAAAATAAAAGGGTCTCCTGGTTGAAAGTCCCAACAGGTTTATCCTGCCAGTTATTTCTATTGGACATTAGTATAGTGCGCAGAAAGGCAGGAACAAGCTACTTCTTTGGTTGTCAGAATTTCAAGTTTTCCGTATCTCAGTAGTCTTAGAATTGTAGAGATACAGCAGAATAAGAACAGGATGGAGGATTAGGCCTGCATAATGATGTAGAGGTTTCAGCATTCCTCTATGTGGTTTGTAATGCCATATTAAGTGTTCAGCACGATATTATACTACATGTTTCTAAAGAAATGCTGTAAGTAAATAGGTTTTCAAAGCGTTAACAAAAATTTATACTATTATTTATATCATGTGTCAGCTGTTACAGAGTACTGTTGCTTGATCCTTGCAAAGTAAATAGAGTTTAACCTTTACTGCTGTTTTGGAAATGCCTCCTCATACATTTTCCAGTACTTCTGAAATACTAGAAATACAACTTTAATTTTTTAAAAAATTTAAATTGAGAGATACGTTTACCATATTTTAGGAAATACTGCTGCATGTGTTTTGTACTACCGGATGAATGCTTCCCAGTTCTGGTAACAAAAATATTCTTCTAAAGTAGTATTTTTTTTCCCTGAACACTAAGTATAAATTGCTCAAAGCAATCACGTTTACAACAGGCACAGCAGATTTTTATCACATTCGCCACCTTGTGGCTTCCTGCAGCACTGACCCTGCTTAGAATTAAAACTTAGGTTATTTAACCTTCTGCTTTCAACAGAAATGACAGCATATTATTAATTATCATCATGCAGTCCATATATTAAAGGACCACTGGCAAAAACTAAGATGTAAAAGTATTACCTCTTGAGCTTCACAAGTCTATGTCAAACATAATCCACCATACAGCGGATGGAGAAAAAAATTATGACAAGACTCATCAGTTTAACATAATGAAGCGTCTAAGAATTGTAAAGAGGTGAATCTCAACCTTTGCTAATTTTTGTCCTAGGAGAGTTACATGAGGCTAGTAGGTACTGAAATCCTAAAACATACTGAAGAGTAATGGTTAAACAATGTTTTTTATCAGAAAAGCAATTAGCTGTAACATTATCTACATACTTAATTAAAGCAGCAAGTAGTATTTGCTTAACAGAAAGTTACTGGCAATATATTATTTTATATCCTAGCTGCCAAAAATGCAGAATGAAATTATGATGACAAAGCTAGACATAAAGATGTCCAAAACGACAGACTTTTGTTTTTGTTTTGTATTTTGCGCAGTGAAACCCAAACCATCCGATTCAGCATCTGGAGGCACAAAACCCTTACTGTCAGTGCCAGTAGAAAGCAATCTTGTGGTAAGTTACAAAGAGGGAGCAATAGCTGTGTGACCTCAAAAAACTGCAGTATTGAAAGATATGTGTAACAGACAGTATGGGAAAAACAGCACTCTTCTTCAAGTTATGTTGAGGGCCATAACACATAGATAACTTCAGGAACTGAATATAAAAACTAATAAATTCCCTATACAAATAAAACAGACATTTTTAATCTGAGTCTGTCACACCTGTAAAAGAATTTGAGTGACTGACTACTGAAGGCTCCACCCATGCAACATCTCCTGTGACAGTAGCCTCCTCCCCATGTATGCTCTGGTTTCACTTCTACAACAACCTATCCAAGCACTGCACCCTCCTGTTGTTTCTCCTCACCGCAGGCTGTCATCAGTAAAGCCAGGACAAGCACACACTATCTGGTCAAGACAAATGCTGCTTCTCCGTATTCAGGACAATCAAACATGCTACATGTGATGTACTGTGCCATATGAACTACTGTTCTAGTATTCACCAGAAGGGAACCGATTGCTATGCCAGTTATCTATGCCTGTTTAGGAAAATTTATAGGCCAATGTGTCATTGGAAAAAAGTTTCCATCTCCTCTTGTGCTCATTTATTATTCTATACTACATCTTTCTCTAAACATGGAACATTTTAAATCCCTAAAACACACAACAGTATGTGCTACTTTTCACTAGAATTGTTGTCCCAGACAGTACACAATAAAGGTGTAAAAACACATTGTATTTTCAGTGTCAGCACTAAGGTGACTAATTTAAAATTCTCCTTCAAATAACAGAAAAAAATCCGCTACAATAATTACAGTGGTAATATAATGTTTAAAACATACCCCTAAAGAGACATCATAATCTTCTGGGGTAAAAGGTTTATCTGTCAGGTCCTCAAAAAAATCTGCTAAGGAGTCCAGTGTTTCTTCAGCCAGTCTCTCATAGGTGGTCTCATCTAAAGAGCTACAAATGACATAGAAGTCCATAATTAGGAGGAAAAGCATGGAAGAGAGCATTTTCCCTATAATAAAAACATATCAAGACCATGACTTTGGATGAAACAGTATCCATGAAATGATCGTATAAACAAGTAGTCATTTTTCTTAAGGTGATGTAGGTGACAATCCACCTTAGAAATGGAGGATAAATTTTGAAATGAATTGCTATTAGAGATCCCTTAACTGAGGAAAAGGCACTTATGTCCTTAGATACACTAGCCCCCACTTAGTATACAGCATTAGATTTGAAAGTAAGGAATTTTCGTAACAGGACTTTGTGTAAGGATTGTTCAGGTTTGAATTCTACAAATAGAGACAAAAGCATCTCCCATTTAGAAATATATGTCATTTGACTCTACAAAAACTGCTGTAGCCACAGACAGTTTAGAAATGTCAGTATCATATGTTTATGCATAGCATTTGCCTTCTCAACTGGAATTACCCATGCAGCCTGGTAATTAGATGTTATTTAAACTGTGCTTATGATCTAACACTTATGAATTACAGTGTTCTTCAGAGAGTCTCAAAGCACCTTTGTGGCCATTACGTAAGGCTTAAAACACCTGTGAGACTGCTTCTCTTTTCCTCTTTAGTGGAACAAAGAACAGTTTAATTAACCAGAAGTAATTAAATAAAATAACGTAAGTTGTTTCATCTCCATCAGTGTCAGCTTTTAACTGAGTGTGTCTCCCCACCAACAAACACTTCAGTGAAATAATCTCAATTTTTGCTAATGCTTATGGCAATTAAACAGTTACTATGGGCTGAATATATATCAGTTGGTAATAGAAAACATGAATTTTTAAGAAGTTTCTTATCCAGTTACTGAAATAAGCTCTATGTCACTTATGTGAGGGATACCACAAAATGCCTTGGGGCATGGAGAACAGAAAACCTTTGGATCAGGCAGGATTCATGTACTGGTTAAAGGCCCACTTTAGGCACTTGAAAGCAGGAGCCATTTCAGATACCTGCACAATCTTTCACTGTGTCTTGAACTGCTGCATCAGGAGGGGAGAAGTCTCCAATAGATGCTGTGTCACCTCCTCTCAGAACAAGCAGAAATTTCACATCCTCTGGTATATGTGAAACGGTGCTAGACAGTTGCATTTAGGTACATGAATTATTTGCTAAGCAACTTCCCAAATTCACAGAAAATGCTTTTAGCTGAAACTATAGTTGTCCTTTACATCACATCAACATTGCATTAATCTGGTAGTCTCGGTACGTATGTAAGTTATTCTAAAATACATAACCAGTATTTTCATATGAATCTCTCATTTTTACCTTGTGTCACTCAGAGTTCCTGTATTTCTCAAATTCATGAACCAAACAGTTCTGCTCTTCACATCTGAAGAATACTGTAATTGCTGTTTAAAGTAAGTAGAAGCAAAATGGAATTAAAACATAAAGAATTATAAACTATATACTTATCATATAAATTAAACAGCTCCTTTAAGTCCTTTCCATCCTCAAGTAATATGTTCATATTCTGTATCACAGGGCTAATATGGAAGGAATTAAGCAGCTTTAGTCTTTGAATGATTGAAGCAATCTAGAATATCCTTGTTTTCATCACACAAACTAATGGAAACCCCCACAACTCTCTGATTCATACACAAATGAACCAGGAAAAGAGAACTATTCTAACTTTTCTATTGCTCTGCCACAGATTTACTGAGCAACTGCAGACAATCAAATGGCCTAGGTTCAGATTTTCATAAATATCCACAACTCACATGCTGCACTACCAACATGTGTCTCTCTGCTGGAAGTCAGGAACATACTAAGCTGAAATAAACACAAACCCTGAATCCTCCTTATGTACAAAAGAGCCAAACCACTTCAGATTCCAGACTTCCAAATTACGGAAAAGCTGTATTGCCATAACAGCAGTATCAGACAAGGGAACCAAATGGGTAAACCCGCTGAGGGAAACCAATAAAAGCATGAAAATAAAGCTAATCCCCACATCAGACACAGTAGCAGAAGTTATCATGCACTTATGCTATCCACCAAGAAAGGAATATGACATGATTTCCATTTTTTAACTGGCATTGACGATTCAGTTTAATGTTAAAACAGAATCCATAATTACTTTCTGTGTACTCGTGCCAGGTTCTGCAAACTTCAGACTGAGTTGAAAAGCAAGTGACATTTGCAAAGGAGCTATGTCAGCCTTTCTTCAAATGCGCAAGAGCAAAACACAGGCCGATGTCTCTCCATGTGATGTGACATCTATCTGCAGGTATTACCAATGAACTGCCTGTTAGTCCAAAAATACAGCACAGGCATAAAGGACAGAACGCAGACACAACCGTACAGGCCGACAAAATACACCACGGTGCCTGCATGTCTGACTGCACCCCTTTCCCTACAGCATGATATACACGCTTAGAATCAAAAGCTACAAGACTACGAGCACGTTCAGGCTCTGTCCAGGCTGAGAGGCTCCAATTCCATCAGCGTGCACCCACACTCGGTTTGTGACTGAAGGCTGCCAACAGCGGTCCCAGCACGCAGCCGGCATCTGCCTCCGCCTACCACGCCCGGCTGCGGGCAGCCAGCACGGCCCTCTGCGCCTGACAGGGGCAGCGGACGAGGGCACCAGCTCCCGTGCCCGCCACCTCCCGAGGCACGGAGGGAAGGAGAAAGCACAAGGCAGGCGGAAGAAAGGGAAGGAGGGAGGACGCGCCCCGCTGCCGGCCGGCCTGCGAGGAGGCCCGGCGGCCGACTCGGGAATCCCCGCCCGCCGCCGCGCAGG